GGCAGCCAGAATCCTGACCAGGCCTAGCGATCACATTACCCCTGTCCCGGAGTCCCTGCACTGGCTTCCTATCACGTTTCTTGTTGTCTTCTAAATCTTCATGCTCACCTACTGGTTCGTCTAATTCTGTTCTCCTGTTTCTCCACCAAGCCCGTTCTTATGGCTATCACGGAGTCACTTTCCCCGAGTTGTTTCAAGTCTGGACTGAAAACCTCCTTCTTTAGAGGGGCTTGAGTTTAGCTGGTTTCTGTGTCTTTCCCTTTGCTTTCCTGCTGTATTCCAAACCCTCACAATAACTGTTTCATTCTGCTACCTCCTCTCACTGTGTATTTATTCTTTCTCTCTCTGTAAAGCGCTTGGAGAAGCTGTATAAAATATAGTTTTAAACGCACTGTATACAATAAAGCTGATAATTATTATTGTAGTTGTTACGGTTACTACTATAAGAAAAGGAAGGGAATGGAGAGGTCCTGACCTGTATGCTGACCGGATTGGCAGAATCGTGGTGCTCAGCAAGGCTGGCGGTGATGGTGACTGTGCCAGTCTGACCGTGGGCATGCAGGATCTGACGCCCTGAGGTCAACACCACCAACAGGAGGATCAGACTCCCACTCACACTGAACATTACAGTACCTGGTCTTTGGGGATCTCTGAGAGACGAGATGTAGATGCACAACATCAGAATTATTCTTCGAGGTAGTATCTGATCAAGCTACGATCCAGTGAAATTGTCATGTTGACAACTGTTGGCGGCAGCGTGATCAGCACTGCCCTTCCTCTTCCTCCTGCCATCATCACCACAGTCACAGCTAAGCCTGCGGAGGACTGACCGTGCAGCTTGGCGTGCCCAGAGCCCGTCTGTCTGTCCTGCAGGCTCATGGGCGTGTCCTGGGCGACGGACAGCAGGGAGGGGTTGGAGGAGTGCCAGCGCACCGCCTCCGCAGTGAAGTTGTCGAACTGGGCCCCCTGCTGGTCGAAGGCTGCCAGTTCCAGCACGGTGTCTCTGGAGCTGGGCACGGCCGCCTGGCACACAGAGGGCAGGGGTCAGTCGGGCACAGAGGATCGGGGGCACGTGGGATAGCCCGCGTCCTCGCAGCAGGGGCCGCCCAGGGCCGGCGTGGCGCGCAGGGCTCCTGGGTCTCGAACTGGGCCGGAAGAGGGCTCTGAGCCGTCCGCCAACACAAGACTACTCACCGTGCTGCCGCGGTAGAGGGGCTGGGGGCAGGGCGAGGGGGCCGGCGGGGATGCAGCAGAGGGGGGCGGTGGCGGCGGAGAGGCGGGGGTGGAGGCGGAGAGGGTGGAGACGGGGGTCAGGGACAGCCTGGCCGGCAGGGCGCACCCCACCCTGACACGCACTTCCTCTGCGCTGGGCCGGGGGTTCAGAGGCCCGGGGACGTTCCCGCTCCGGAACACCAGCCACTGGGGACAGAGCCAGAGCAGAGCAGCAGGGTCACGGCGCGGCACCGTCAGCTGAGGATCACACCGCCGCGTGGCTTGGGCCCGCGGTGCCGGCCGGGCTACCTGCTCCCCCAGCGCAGTGCAGGTGACCCGGTAGGCGTGCTGGTTCCGGTGCAGCTGGGGCGGGCGCAGCGCGGCGATCTGGGCCCCCCCGCCGGGCTCAGCCAGCAGGTCACTGAAGAAGCGGTCGGGCTCCAGAACCCAGGGCTGCGGCCCGCCGTCGAACAGCAGGTCTCGGGCCGCTCCGTTCGCCAGCAGGACGTCCGACAGCAGCGCCTGGGACGCAGAAACGCAGGATGGGTTCTGCCAGCTGTACGGCAAGAGCCTGAACACCTTTTCAAATCTGAAAGCATCAGGCACACGACTGGCATGTTTCCCCCGGCCCATAAAGAGAAGAGGCTGCTGTGATACCCGCAGGGGCCTGTAGGAGGCGAGAGTCGCCGTGGCAGTGATGTAGTGCCGGTCTGTGGCCATCCCGATGGTCAGCTGTGTGTGACCCGGTCCGACCGCCTCCAGCCGGACTCCGCTGCAGGACCCCGGTCCGGGGCCGAGCTGGCCTGCCGGGATACAAGATGGCACAGACAGGGTGGCGAACACGGCTGGCGCGCTCAAGTCTGGGCTCCTAGCAAGAGGTTTCAGAGGAGACGCCCCGCTCTCCCATCGCCCGTGAGCCGGGGGCCCCTCACGCACGGAGCACAGCCCACCCCCCCTGTCGGGAAGAGGCAGGACCAGGGGCTGGGGTTACCTGGCACAGCCTCAAAGACCCCCAGGCGGTCGGGGTGGGTGTCCAGGGGCAGCAGGGAGCAATCCGTCAGCAGCTGGGGCGTCTGTGCGTTCAGGGGATCTTGGGGCGAGGGCTTGGTGCTGAGGGAGTCCCGAGGCAGCTGAGGGGGTGTCTGCAGATGTGGGGCCTCAGGGAGGTCAGGGAGCCCCCACACAGCCAGAGGCAGGTCCACTGACCCCCCCACCTCACAGTCTCCCTGCTGGGGCAACAGCTGCATCTTCACAGGCCTCAGCACCAACACCTGCAGACACATTGTGGGAAGGAGACAACACTGGCTATCGGGCGCAGACAAGGCTGTCCTCCTGGT